GAAATTTTCTCATCATGTAGTGTCTAAGTTTGTCCATAATAAGTAAAGAGTAAGGATAAGGAGGAAGATGAAAGAATACATTTTTAAAATGCGGATTAAATGGGATTGTCCAACTTTAATAATTTTTGGACTTAGAATAAAAAAGTAAGAATAAAGGTCGGTTTTGTACCTGACTGCTAGATAATAGTGATTGTCCAGTGGTCCCACGGATACGAGCTGAGGTCGCTGGGGTAGCAGGCAAAGAGCGAGAGTGAGAGTGTACTGGGACCTGAGGTAGAATAGGAGGAGAATTGAGGCAATTCCCACCAAAAGGATGGCTAAGCGATGGTGGATCAATAGAATTTGGAGCCAAAGATCCGGCTCGAGAAAATCGAGAGGACAAGACGCCAGTTTCAGCTGAAAAGTACAGCGCAATGAATATAAAGATAAATAAACAGATAAAATAAATAGGCAAAGTATAAAAAAGAGTATTGATGTTAGCATACAACAATTGATTTACAAGCTTCTGCAGATAAATGCCACCAAAAATAGTTATAGCAAGTGACACAATTAATGCTAGCGAGCTAGACAAAAAGGATGATAAAGCAGTGTCACAACAAATCAGGGGCAAAAATGTAAAGCTCAAGAACTTTTGGCAATAGTGGCTAATATATAAAGCTTGACAAATGAAAAAAGAAAATTTTAATCGAAGATATGAAAACCAAGATGGTGTGACCTTATGCGTGGTCGCAGTATCCTTTCGTTGTATAGAAGTTGCTTAACCTTGTTTTCACAACTTGGTAATATTAGTAAGAAAACTTAGAAGAACGCACCTAATCGGAAGTCCATTGCATGCATGATCATTTCCAAAGTGGCACCGTGGACGTGGTACATTCCTAGACATTTCGCTGGTATCGTCAGTGGGTCTTGCCATTCTTAGCACCATACTACAACTCGTCAAAGAGACAAGTGGGGTCGAGTGAAATACTTGAATCAGGGAGATAGCAGACGGATCCTACCGGGCAAGAGGAAGACTGATAGGACCTAGGGAAGGACTGCGTAACAATATGACAGACTCTGATCAACATTCCCAGCCCAAGGGTGAAAGGAGGCGAGAATGCCAGTCTAAAAGCTGCTCAACAGGGCACACCACACTACATTTAAATAAGAAAGGAAAAATTGTGATATTGAAGAGGCGATACGAGGATATGAGACAGGTGAATAGCCCAGGACAGGAGAGATACCACAACTGTTTAGCACATATTAGATCAAAGGATGGGCTTCTCTTGTCTCTTTGACGAGTTGTAGTATGGTGCTGAGTGACAAGATTAAATGACGATGCCGGTAAAACGTCTGGGAATGTACTACGTCCACGGTCCGGCTTTGGAAAAGATCATGCATACAATGTACTCCAGACTAGGTGCGGGAATAATCCATAATTTTCAGTCTCACCCTAACTACAAACTGAAGATCAGAATACTAAGAAGTTTGATATTCAGAAGCTTACTACTAACTGACAT